TTCGGTCACAAGCTCAGGAGCATTGACCATGTTTAAGTTTAACCAGAACAGATCTGGTGGAGACACTGGAACAGGGAAGCGGCCATGCTGAGGCTGGTGTTGGTCACTAAATGAAAGCAGAGCAGGACCCAAAGCCACAACCACCCCTCTGCCCAGGGCAGCAGTTCACACCAGCATGAAGGGGAAACTGGGCATTTTGATACAGGGTATTTGCCACTGGTATCTAAGGGTAGGTAAGGACAGAAAGACCAAGAACCCAGAGCCAGTGTGCTGGCCGTGGTAGATCTAGTGCATTTACAGCCCCCTTGCAGGCCAGCTTCAGAGGCTGTGCCAGCAGATGACCCAAGCAGAGAGCAAGGGAGGACAGGGGACTGCCGGGCATTGACCTCCAGCAAGAACAGGAAGGCTGGAGCCTTTCCGCCTACAGTAGCAAAAGCACATGGAACATGGAGATGCTGCGAGCATCCCTGCCCTGGAGTAACCAGGAAGAGGCCATGGCAGCAGGGATAGCAGCCCACCCTCCTCCTCCTCCCAGTGCAAGGTCAGGCGAACAGGAGGCAGGGCAGGCTTTAAAACCCAAAGAAAGGTTAAATTCGGCTATCTGGAGGCAGGCTTTAAACCCCAAAGAAAGGTTAAGTGCCCAAGCTGCTGCGTGGTGCTTGCAGAGGGGATGCTGGAAGATGTTTTGATAAAGATTTGCTGTGTAAGGGTTTATCCGAAGGCCACGCACACACACATGCTCAGCACCTTGCTGGGGCCTGTCCTGTAACCAGGGTTGTTTTTCCCCACACTATCCAGGGCAGAAGTACATCGCAGCGCCGTTAATCTTTGTGCTGCGCTGACCCAAACGCTCGGTGTTACCCTGCAGCTGCTTCCTGAGAGGGGCTGCCCGGGAGCCTGGCCACACGCCGCTCGGGCAGCAGGACGGGCTCCAGCACAGACCAGCCCTGCAACAAGAGGGCCAGCCCAAACCCAGCTGCTCCCGTCCCACACAGACCCAACGCTCGGCAGCACAAGGCCTCACACCTTGCAGCGGGCACAGCTGTGCTGCCAAACCCCAGCAGCAGCAGTCTTGGGTTGAAGAGAGACTCAGCTTTGAAGGGAGGTTATTACAGTTAAAGACTGTGGCCATGACAGGCTTGGATGTTAGGCAGAAAATAAATTCACAAACTGAAATTTGTGACTTGTGAAATTTTTAACAAGATTATCACTTGGGAGGGTGAGCCACCAACAAGGGGTTTTTTTGAAAAAATTTCACATGGTTTTCCATTAAATTCTCCTGAAACCAACCTGATCTCTTCCCTACCAGCACCACCCATAACAACCTCCAAAAACCAAAAAAATAAACCAGCACACAGGTGGCCCTGGGTCAGCCCAGGCTTTTCTCAGGGTTGAAGCCTGGAAGAGCAGCCAGCTGTGTTTTTGCAGCCCTGATTCAGCACTGCCAAATGCCAACTGAAAAAGGAACAAGTACAACTTTCAGTGCTAACATTAGAAATTCTGGGTGGTTCCTCCGCAGCACAGGCCAGTGAGCAGACACAAGACATGGGCCTAGAAGGAGCATCTCCCAGCACTCGCCTGACCCCCCTTGGCAGACAGCTGAGCATTAAACAGCCTCAAGCCCCTCAACCACAGGTCTGTGACCCTGGCCATACACCAGACCTGGTTTTACCTCCATGACATCATTCCACTTGATATTCAGACAACATTAAACACTAGCAGACATTTCAAATGCTGTTCTTATGAAGCAGAGGGGCTGGGATGAGGTCAGTCACCTTGGGATGTCCTCCAGCTGGCCTGACCTCTCCAAGGAGAGACAGTTTGGACACACAGCTCTACAGATCCCACAGCTAGACACAGATCACAGCAGGAACCCAAGGGAGACTAACATCAACAGCCATTGGGATGTCCCTGGCTGCTGAGAACAGGGACAACGAGCATGTGCACAAGGGAAACGGCTCTTTGGAGAAAAGGGGAAGCCAGCACCCCACCACCCAGCTTATCTGCTCAGCAACAACCTCATTCTCAGGAGATTTACATTCCATGAGTTAACAGGAGCACACCCTTGGTGACAAACAGGACTTCAATGACTCCTTCAATAAGCAGCCTGCTAGAAGTTTCTGCAGTGAAATGGCTGAGATAAAACAGCCAGTACATTTCTCCCTCAACAGTTGTTTTCCAGCAAGGACAGAGACCTGCTCTCAACTAGAAGCTGCCAGAGCATTTCAGGAGACGAAGCAGCAGAGAAGCTGGTTTTACTCTGCTGCTCACCTTGCCACCCTGCACAACACAGCTGCTTTCAGAGAAGCCCTGCACAGCACACCATGGCTGAACCACAACACATTAGCTGCAGCTGTGCTGCACTAGTGCATCTGCATACAGCTATGCTTGCAAGCATGAGGATTTAAACTAGCAGAATCACACAGCTTGAAGCATAAGCCAAGGCAACCCCAGCTTCCTAAACCTGTAGCCTCCTCGCCCCTTCTGTTCTCTGCAACTTCAGCACTTTGGTCCCAGCACAGGGTCATGCTATTCCCAGAAAAGCTCTCTGGGATTCCTATGCTCTTTCAGCAGCCTTGCTCTGGAAGTTTCAAGGTTTTTTTTTTTTCCTGATTTCCAGCCTGAATCCCCTCAACTAATTCAAGGCCCATACTGCCTCACCCACAGCTGGCATACAGGCTACAGCACCTTCCTTGCCATCACTACTGACATACCTTAACATTCACACCACCCTTCCTCCAGGCTGAGCCACCTCAGTTCCTTCCACTGCTCCCACACCTCTGCCATCCCCACCTGACCATCACCCAGCACAGGGCTGATGCTACCACAGCAGCCAAGGTCCTTGCCAGCCAGGCATCAGTAACCCAGCTCCACCTAACACCAGGCAGGCTCAGAGTCACCAGTGCCCGGAGCCCTTGGCCAAGCACAGCTCCCACCTCGTGGTGCTCCTGCCCGGGTGCAGCACCAGCAGCTGTCTCTGCACAACTACACAGTATTTCCTTTCACATTATTTGCCCACTGTCCTCTGCTGTAGCCACAGCTTCTCTCCACCCTGATTGTGAAGGCACACATTGCACTAAGCCCTTAAGCTAACATTCTCTAAGGCCGAGAAGCCTCGCTACATCCCTCCTGTGACATTAGCTACACTTAATTAGTTTTCCAGCTAATTTTAAACCTACCTGCCAGCTTGCAGGAGTAGCAAAACCCTCAAGACTACAACATGTTTTGCTGTCTCTGGCAAGTTCTCAGAGAAGGCATTTCACAAGTAATCCAGCACTCAGTGCTTGTTGCCTAAACCGCAAACCAGTTTATTTCTAGCTGCCAAGATATACCCTCTCCTCCAGAGACTGGGCCCAGGCACAGGTGATTCAGGCACTTTGCAGAGACACCCAAGTGACAGTTAGATACACCCTGAAGAAAAAAACGCATCACTCAAAATGCAGTGCCGAGCACAGGCAGACTTACCACTAGCGAGGGAAGAAAGAGGGGATACTAACACCAAGAACATGCTCAAAGGCTTATGCAGAATATACCCAAAGTAGCAAAACTTACCTCCTCTCAAATTATTTCATATAAGTACTTACAGAAGACTTAACCGCTAACTGTTACCGCTCTGTCCCACCCACCCTCCCCAAGTCTCCAACAAATTGAAGACATAGCAGAAAAACTACTCAGGGTGAGATGCCTGGAAAGGAAATCATTGTTCAAAGCCCAAACCACATCATTAAGATTAAACTTGCTACTGCAGGTAACACCAACAAACCACGGCCAACAGTCTGATATGAAGGGGCAAGACCAAGCATCACCAGTTTGGCTGTCACGCAGAGTCACAGACTGGGCTGGGGAGGGGGGGCGGGGTTAGATTCCAAGCTTTCCAACACCTGCAGAATTCCCTGCTTCAGGGTGTCCACAGCCTTTGTGCCAGCAGTTTTCAGTAAGCAAACACAAGCTACAAACTAGCTAAAGCACCTGAAACGCTAAAGGTTGCTGAGGAATACAGTTAAGCAAGGATCCAAGCTTAAGGCTCTGCAAGCGTTTTTTCCCCCCCTCACATCCCAACTCATTTATGATTTTGCAACACAACCAAGGTGAGAGCAAATCCTGTGCTTTGCACAGGCAGTCTTCCAATTGCTGTACGGTGTACACAAGTATGGATATCAATGCCTGCAAATTTTATTGGTGTCAAATCCCTTCACCATATCAGAAATTAAAGGGAACACAATGAAGTAATACAAGAGTTGCTCTGGAGTGAGAATGCAAAGTTGAATATAGGCATCAGACTGCTTTAACTTTGCATCCAAAAGCAGTGAAGAAGTTTACGTCTTGCATAAATTCTTGCTAGAGCTGAACACACATCTTCTCCCATGATTTGGCAGGGCAGAAAATTAAGCATCAAGCTTAAACTATCTGAATGTGGCAACGTGAAATCTAGCCTGCAACTCCACCAAGGTAACTGCTTACCAAGAGGTCACTGTCTTATAGCCCTCTACTTCATCCAACAAGGAAATTGCACCATACATCCTTCATAGGAAAATATTTACACAGGAAATTTAAACTATTGTTGAAGCAATTTAACAATAGAGCCTTCCTAAAAACCTGCTAATGCGTATCTAGCAAATTTTTTTTTGAGATCCTACACTCAGTGTAATTTAAATAGCATTTGAAACATTCCAACAGGAATCACATTGCACAGAAGCAATTTGCTTCTCTAACGTTTTCCCACACCTGCTCAAGCCTGTGCATTTAGCACACAAGCTTTCAACACCAAGCCTCTACATAGGTACCTCACAAATGCTACAGAACAAAGTTATTCGGAACGAGGGCAAGCATCTCAGTCTCTAGGCTGTAATGATTTAAGGCTTTTTGCAGCTTCGTTTGCTGGGTCAGTGACAGCCAGAGGAAGTGCCATCCGCTCTCAACACCTGATTTGGAGCTGGCATCCGATTTGCTCAGGTAGACCAAGGCCCATCGCAGTTCCAGACAAGTGGACTCGTGGCAAGTCAGTTGCGGGTCATTCCAGGCCCTTCTGGAAGGAGGGATGCAAAGAAAGTCTTGAAAAAAACCCACGCCGTGCTCATAAACGAAGGGTTAGCCTGCTGCAGCTCTTGTAAAGCTTGTCCCTCGTCAGGAGATGCCTCCGATTCATCTGCTCTGTCTGCATTTCCTCCCTGCCAAAATAAAGGGTATTTGGTAAATGAGATCATTTCAGAAATGCATTAGAACAATCAGGTGTAGAACAGCATGTTTTGTTACCCAGGTGTCACTGTCAGAATATAAAAAGCTTGCAACTATCCCCAGACAACCATAAAAGTCAAAAAAAACAAGCTGCAGGCTAGTATTACTGGCCAACTCATGCCATGTGTCCAAGAACACTGTTTAGGACAGACACAAAGCACCAAATTGGTGAACTACGTATGTATTTACAGCTAATGAACTTCCACTGGCATCAACCAGCCATGTCAGCTTGAAATGCAAGACTGACCGCTTGCGTACTCAGACCCTACCACTGAGGTACGAGCCTAAACCCCGTCTCCAGTGACGGAACCTGTTCAGCCCATGACAGACCACTCTCTCCACTGCAACACCCTAAAGGACACAAACCACTAAAAGGTAACAGCCTGAAATCCCCTGTTCTACAGAATAATCAGCTACACCAAAGGGGAACTCAGGCTGGCAATTATTCCCCCGTGGAAGATAGTTTCTGAAAAAGTTTAGAAAAAAGTTTTTGCTGCTACTACATGTAATTAGTAAACTGAAAGTAAAGCTTCAGAGGATTTCATACTCGTGATTTAAAAAATTAGCAAGACAATACCTGTAAGTTATTGTTCTGGTCCTGGTTCACAGCAGCCTGAGGAGGAACATTGCCTGGGAAGGGTTGAACAGGTCTTCGTCTAAACGGAAGCCATCCAACATGGTGCCTGGGCAAGGCCAGATTGTTATTAATACCACTTAAACACAACTCCTTCCTGTCACACCAACAGTTCAGGTAGCATCTGACCACTCAGGACTGCAGACAGCGTGTTTGGCATATTAAGGGCTCTCTGCCCTGACCCAGTAAGCACTTCCAAAGCCTCCTGTTCACAGCACACCATGAGGCAACGGAAGGCTGGGCATCTGCTCACACTCAAAGCCAGCAGCACTACATCCAGGTCTATCTAGCACACTGCCTGTTTACCATGCTGTGTATGCCCCTGGGTAACTCCTCTGTACTCACCCTACAAAAGCACACAACAAAAAACCTGCAAAACACAGCACTTTTACCAAAAGATAACAGGCCACATAGACCTTTTTAGAAGGTCTGTATCTCCACACCACCTGCACCTCTTAACACAGAATATGAGCTGCTCAAAGTTACAGTTTAGAATTATCAATAGTAAAATTTAAGAACTTCTGATGAAGCAATCAACCTTCCCTCTCCAAGTCTGCATAGAAGTTGGAAGAGCTGATCATTTGAGCTGCTCCAGTTTCAACTCCTAGACCTACCAACAGGAATTCAGAGGCCTGTGTCACTTCTTTGACCAGTGATCACAATTCGAGGGAACAGATTATCCTTCTCAGACAAGACATCCCAAGCACATTATCTGAGGGCCTGTTACCTTTACTGTGCTTCTGAGTGACTTATCCCAAGTTTTCGCCTCCTCCAGAGGCTTGGAGGCAGTTCAGGACACCACTTTCAGTTTAGCTCTGTCTGCTCCCTGGAGAGGCAACACAGCAGAAAAACCCGCACACGTACATGGCTTCGACAGCCGGTGTGAGCCTCTGCCCAGACCTGACAGCCTTGCTTCCCCGCAGCCCCAG